TCTCCCCCCTCTCCCCTATCCTTATACCCTCCCGCCCACCATCACCCCCCAAAAAGCATACCTCATACACGCCAGCCTTCGACTCAATATACTCTACTATACCATAATCTCTACAGGCATCTATGAGAGAAGATCAGGGGCCAGGGGGCAGGCAGGGTTAAGAATATCCGAATAAGGGAAGTGAGTTGAGAGAAAAGCTGGATACTACTTGTTAGGTGGGGATGATACGAATTCCATGTGATGATGTGAGAACGAGAAAGTAGAGTAAGGTAGAGGTACTAGTAATACGAGTACTGTAGGAAATAGCGGGGATGGTAAGGATATGTGAAATTATAAGACTATGTATAAGTGTAAGATTGCGAGATAGTGTCTAGGAGTATACAACAGGAACCAGTACAACGAACTCACAACAGATAAATAAACGAAGGAATAATTGCAACTTTTAACTTTGATTTTTACATATCATACAGAATATCTACATTCGATTCCATCCCATCCCATCCATGCAAGCCCACTTCCTCTTCTTTACCAAGCCTAAACCCAATATCCGTAGAAACCCATGGCCATCTTCATACACAGTTCCACCGTTGTTATACAAATTGAAGCTGTTTCGTCCCATAACGCCCCGTCCTTACGTAGATCTACAAACCCCCATCTCACTCAAAGCGAAGTTCCAGCAAAGTTCGTGCCAACCCCCCAAACCCCCTTGGCCGTCTCCCCGAGCTGTCCCTTGATCGTCGCATCCCCCAGACTCACTACGGTTGTGGAAACAGTGGGAGCAGAGACAGTAGGAGTAGCAGGCGTGCCATCATCCCACTCACCTCGATCCTCACCACCCCATTCCTCAAGAGGCTCCTCCTCTTCCTCGTCATCGTCGTTATGTTCATCTTCATCTTCATTATCTGTCTCGTAGATCAACGCGGCGTTCGCTTCCTCTGCTTGTTGCAGATGCTCGAGCATTCTCATTCGCTCGATGACACCGTCGACTACCTCCCTACTCTCAAGTAATCCTACCATCGTGCGTTCCCCGTAGTTGTCTTCGCCGCAATCGCAATCACAGCCACCGGGACATTCTGTGCTGCCACCTGTATGGTATTCGAGCATACAATTCTCATGTGTCACGCAACCGCAGGAGAGACAAGGAGAGAAGATGGCCGAGGCCGGTTCGAGACAGATGACACAACGTAGTTGTCGCTGGATGATCTTGCAACGTTCGCAGCGACCTACGGCGCCGCCCCCGATGGTGGAGGATAGTTGCTCGAGACGGATTTCGTGTTTGAGGCAGTAACCCAACACATCAAGACATTGATCAGAGGCGGGATGATGAATGGAATCTTTCTTGCCGAGGAAGATGGGTGATGGGGGTGGGACAGGGTCGTGCAATGAGGTGTGGGTGTTGTTGGATACAATCGATGCTGCATAGGTTTTATTGACCACAGGGATTTCATTTTCGGGGGCGTGTGCCTCTTTGAGTCCATTGAATTTCAGAATCTCCAGACGTGCGAGTGGATGACCCCAAATGAAAAGGAGTTCGGCGTACGCCATTCTATAGTTGGCATAATAGGACGAGTGATCAGTCTCCAGTAGACCTGAACTTATGCAGCCTTCGTCATCGAATGCGTTTTGGTTTTCCATCGTAAGACTAATTCCAGTGCATATAGTAGGTTTCCAATCGTCATCATCGTCTTCCTCATCACAGTATGATATGATTTCCGGAACAGGTTGTTCTCTGACACTTCCAAGAACAGTTGTACTTCCCCATGTTATAGCACTTGGTGCGAGGGAAAGCATGCTTTCAACTGGACTTGGGCGTTTACGGCTCGGTGGGGGATTCGGTGGTGATGAAGATACTGCTATTGAGAACGGCCGGGAAATACTGGCTGCAAAACTTGACGCAAGCCCAGAATTGACACGTCGAAAACTCCTTGGGTTATCTGGGGATGTCGATAAGCTTTGAGTGTAGTTGAGCTGCTCCAGGCTGGCACGATTGGACCGTAATGGTGGTGTTTCACCACACGAGAATGAAGCTGAAGCAGGATCACTACCCCAAGCTCCATTTGAAGATCCCACAGATCCATATACACCTGTAGGTGTCTGGGAGATCTTTGGCGTCGAGATGACTGAGTGTACTGGAGTCCTCAGATATTTACTCCAAGCAGCAGCGTCACTGGGGAAGTAATCCAGAGAGAATGCCGGAGTCTTCATGGAAAGCGGCGTTTGAGGCTGTGTCATGTTTGTATCCGAATGAGTGACTCCTTCCGTTGTGATAGGTTCATTGAATACGCATGATAGCATGGCCAGCATTTGGACATCCCCAGTCTTTTCGTAATGAGCAATCAGATCACTGATCAGAGGCTTTGCAAGTGGACTGTGGCCCCATTTCACGCGACCAGATAGACTACTTGGCCGACCTTGAGCATCATAGGATAGGTCAACACCACTATCAGAGCCGCTGTCGCTTCGATTTCGTTTCATTGCATCTCTAGCAATAACCAGTATTGGCTCACCACGATGGAACTGCTCTAGCTGTTTCAGGGGAACCTCATTATGCAAAAGCATTGCAGCATACCTCCATACATCGGCAACCTCTGGAAACCCATATTTTGCTGCAACATTTGCGTTGTGCTCACAAACATCTGGTCCGTCCCCATATATGGCATAGTGCTCGGCAAGAACCAATTTGGCCGGAAGGAGGTCGGAAATCTGATGGATAACTAGAATATTCTTGGGCTTCAACGAACGGTTCTTGCTACCGATACCGATACCAGTGCCTGTACCTGTACCAGTTCCTGTTCCCGCTGCGCTAGACCTTTGAGACATAATAGTAGGGGAGCCTGCCTTCCAATGTCTGCCACGTCCTGATGCACTTCTGAGGTAATCCAGAGGAAATCTCCTGGGTCCAACTCGATAGTGTGAGGAATCTGAATCGCTTGATGACGAAATATCCGAATCATCAGACATCTCCGAATCCGTTTTGCTCTCAGAGGCAAGTGACATGGCGTTGATTCTGGGAATAGGAGACGTATTATTGTGAAGGCGACCGAAGGTCTCAAAACTTGGCTCTCCTCTTGAACGAGCCTTGCTCGCTTCAATCGTCTCGAGCAGGGACTTGACCATATCTTGCTTAGGAGGGAAGAAACATGCAAGCGTCCCATTAGCACAGAATCGAGCACCACACAATCTCGGCAATGGGACATTGAGATTTCTGTTAATAGGAGCAAGCATATCGCCAGTTGCACTCGAGTCAAGTTCTTGAGACATCATCGCTGAAGCTCCAGCAGGTATTTCAGCATCCTCGTCGTCACTAGAGCTTTCGTCTGCGAGAGCACCAAGATCGTCATCAGATTCACCGCCGTCGTTAAAGAAAGTTGTGCTTGCTTCGAGGTCCACCTCGCCCAATAAATAACAGAGTGTCGCCTCGAGACAACCTTGCCGACGCGCTACAAATCCCGAGGCAATTTGGTGCACTTCTCGCCTTAATCTGCAATGAACATCATTCGACATGAGTGATGTTTTTCCGAGGACGAAAGTGGGGGCCTTGCTTTCTGGATAGTGATCTGGAAATGTTATGGTGCATTTGATAAATATCGCCGCCCCTTCTTCGCCCCATGGGCCATTCATAGAAACCTCGATCACTCGTTTGTCCATGTTCACATCATCAAAGGTAATTTTGGGAAGTTGCTTGCCGAGGCGCACAATTTCATCTTGCAAAGCTTCGGGCGAATCCCAGTCGCCATCATCTTCAAAGTCGGGACTCAGCTCTGGGCTAAGTAAAGAAAGTTTCCTAGGAGACGGTTTCCTATGCTGAGCACTTACTTTTAGCTGCTTGGTAAATTTTATGCCGCTCATCCACTCTATCTGATTTTGCTTTTGGTCTTCTAACTTATTTCCTCGTTCTTTTCCACTGGGTCCTGAATTTCGAACCAGCATGTGGGTTTTTGTGCCGCGCGTTAGAGCCGTCTTTTTGATTCCTGTGTTGGACATTGCAGTGACTTTGACGCCAGAGCTGCCAGGTCTCTGACCAGTCATTGTCAAACTTTTCTTTTCGGGTGCAGCGTTCTCAATAGCACGGAATGTTTTGTATACAGCACCTCTCCGTGTAAGGTTGAGGTTTTTCTGGACGTGAGACCCTTTGACGAAGCCAACTTCCTCAAGTATTTCGGGGTCCATATGCTGTAAACGGAGCTGGTTATCTTGACCCCACGAAACCAACTGGAAGTCCCGATTGTCGAGCCCCTCATCAGTAATGCCACCTCGATATCTCCAAAGAAATTCCTTAACTTTATGATTCCCGTGACCAGGAAAGGTAGCAACTGTCGGTGCGGTCAATTCAGCAGTGGTCTCTTCGTGTTTACGACGATCATATAAATGCAGTTCTCCTGGCGCGTCTTGGGGCATGGCCAATAATCCCCAGCCAAATGGCGTATATCGAGCTCTCCAAACGGGAAAGTCGGTTCTAATGATGCGTTCAGGTTCATCCAGTTCGTTGGTGTAGTCCCATAGTTTAATGCTTTTATCTAAAGAGCAGGTCACGATGCCATCAGACCTAGTGCGGTTCCAATCCAAGCCGTAAATCTTGGATTCGTGTGCATTGATAGATCTCATATGTACAGAACCCTTTCGCTCATCCCAGATCCTCAACCAACGATCATGAGAAGAGGCCAGGACATGCGATTCCTGTCTATTCCATTTGACTTGAGTCGCCCCGGCAAACCAATCACAGAAGGTGAGAACGGGTTGTCTTGGTCGACGAAGATCCCAACAATGCACGTATCCATCTACCGCACATGTGGCTAAGATGTCTGGGTGATGAGCGGAGAAATTGATATCTGTAATGGCTCTCGTGTGTCCGTGGAGGGTATGCTCAATTGCGCCATGCGATGTGTCCTCCTGCATATTCAAATTCCAGACCAATGCCTTCTGGTTGGCGGTACTTACCACCCAGTAGTCGCGCGCAGCGAATGGGGACCATTGCACATCGGCCACGAGCCAAGGGAGGCCATGACGAAGATGGCGGGGAGGATTCAGAGGAGAGTCGAGATCGATGATGTCGAGCCCTTCGGTGCTGCAGCAAATATTAGACGTGGCTCTGGCATTGGCATGGTATAGAAAAGGAAAACGAACGAAGCCAGAGCAATGTCCCTCCCTGATGGAGAGATGGTCGCCGACCCAACCTTGCGATCGACATGAATGGAGACATCTGCTTCAAAGGTACTGCTTTCAAAGCCCGACCTGATGGTCTTTCCTTTGCGCGACTCTTCCATCATGATGGCGATGGTGGGTTGGTATCATTTTCGGCGGGACCAAATATCAGGATTGCAACTTGAGCTTCAAGCTGGACGCGATGCAAGGTGCAATGTGGAAAGGCTATCTCGTCATGGTGTAGGAGTAGTCGTTGGTCGCTTCCGAGGCCCCCTTTTCTCCAAATGCCTGCCCTACTCCGGAAACCCTAATACTGAGTGTTGCAGTAGGTGACTATGTACTGTGATGAGGAAAGTACCTATGTATACTAGGTTGTAAGAGAGAAAGAGCTGTTGTGACGCTGTCCGAGGTCCGTTTCTCCACACTTTGGCAGCCCCCGGCCCCGGCCTGTCATCAATTCAGCCTCCTTCTCTCACCCCCCACCCACTCCCACTCTTAGCGGCAACACTATTTCAAGAAGCAGTAAACACAGTGAGGTACGAGTATCGCGTAGTGCAATATCATTGGAATTCCAGTCAAATTGTGGCCTCTCAATGACATTACTGTCCTGAGAGAATAATCTCCGCACAACGTGAATGTTCTAGTATTCGCCTGTTTCAAGTGCGAGGGCAGGGAAGCCGAGACCCGTACGCTCTTCAACCCCGAACGCCCTCCCCTGTGACATCGACAGCGTCAATTTCACCCCTCCTTATCACCCGCATCGCATCGCATCGCCTCGCCAGATCCAAAGCACACCCATACCCACGCGTCTGCCCAACCCCCAGAGTCCCGCGAGCCTGCCCTCGACCCGATACTTGAACCCATCGGAATTTCGTCAACTCGAGGCCATACTGCTGCTAAAAGCCCACGAGCCTGCCGCAGATACCGCACCCATCCCACCAGCACAACACCACCCGGCACCATGGCGTTGCCAAAAAGAATCATCAAGGAGACGGAGAGATTAATGGCAGAGCCGTGAGTTGCTCAAGAATTTGCCGACGTTCGGCATACTGACAGGAGTCTCCCGTAGTGTTCCTGGCATCTCAGCCGTTCCTCACGAAGACAATCTACGATATTTTGACGTCTCCATCCACGGGCCAACCCAATCTCCATACGAAGGTCAGCCTCGACCCTCTGCACCACAGAATATGCTCTCCAGTTCTTGACCTGTCTAAGTCTAATTTCATGTATAGGCGGGATTTTCAAACTCGAGCTCTTCCTGCCAGATGATTATCCTATGACCCCTCCCAAGATCCGTTTCTTGACCAAAATCTACCACCCAAATATCGATAAGCTAGGCCGCATATGTTTGGATGTCCTGAAGAGTAGGTTTCCATTTTGCTGCCGCTCTCGCGTTCTCCATTGCCATTCAATTCTTGGTGTGTTTACTAATGAGTCTATTTTAGGTAACTGGTCGCCCGCCCTTCAAATCCGCACTATCCTCCTCTCCATCCAAGCCTTGCTAGGTGCCCCGAATCCAGATGATCCATTAGCTCCCGAGGTTGCGAAAAGATGGAAGGAGGATGAGCAAGCTGCTATTGCTACAGCCAAGGAGTGGACCCGAACTCATGCCATGACATGATTGCAGACATAATAGAATTATGATTTACGACCTGCGTGAGGATGGGCCATAGCGAGCGAGTGCTATATGGAAGCATGCGAAACTGATTCGACACCATTTGAAAGGTTCCTGGTGTTTGAGCGCATGTACATCCCCGACCGATCCCGTCTGAGTTCTTTAGATAGAGGCATGGACCTGCGAGACATTCCATTCTAAAACTAACTTATTCAAGAAGCCTGTCGCGTGAGCTAAGTAGATGTTTCTTGTCAGTCTACGTTCGTGCGTATTTAGATAGTTGAATACAAGTTGTATTCTCCTTGTAAGTTAGGAGCCCTCTTTATCCATTCCTCTTTATGCTTTGAAACTTTTGAAGAGCCTTCTTCACTTCAGCCTACCATTTGCCCATACAGCTTCGAGTTCTTGGTCGAGAGCTTTTGTGTTGCGATGTCGTTTGGAGGAGTTCTGCCTCGAAGTGTGATCTTCTTTCGTTCGTCTCATATTTCTTTTTCATTCAAATTCGCCTGCCCTTCCTTTTCTGCCAGTATCTGAAATAATATTATTGACTGACTTGGCATCAACATTCTTCTCTCTTGTTTCCGGTAGTGGTTTTTGCAGATGTTTTCCTTTGCTTACGCACCATAAGCAACACACGAAATAACATCAATGTAATGGAACCTTACACATGTCAGATTTTCTCCGTTCATATTTTTGTCAGTGCGAAAAGAATCTTTCGTTCACAATTCTTGCTGCCTCGGTATAATTGGAGCGATTCGATGGAGCTCCCCAAGTGGGTATTGAGCTTTGTTGCCCCGACTTCCCCGCAATCCGAGTCAAGAATTGCAGTCCAGTTGCCTATTTGAGCCAGTAGTAAATGCAAGTCATGACTTTTGTCTGGGATTTGTGATTTTTTGTTTACCCCGAATATCATTCTCGTTGGTGGAAGACTTCTTGAACCCCTCACTTATTCTCGGCAGTCGGATCTGCACCCCGGAAAATCACAAAAAACTCTCCCCAGATTCGTGAAGAAGAGCGGACCCTGAAATGCGGCAAAACTCCCCGCAGTAGCCTTGCAGGTATTCATTTTATGCGCTTCAATCAGCGTTCGATGTTGGGTTTGTGTACCTACTTTTTTCTAATCATCCGGTAGTTGGCTGAGCATGTTTGGTTTCCCCTCTCATCTCGTTTTCTGGTCCCGTGTTGGATGTGGCGATGGACTTCACGATCGCCGTCATTTATAGCTTTGCGAGCTATGAAATATGTACGAAGCTTGTTGGAGCGGGGTTAATTGGTCAATTGGGTCCATATGAGGAGTTTTGAAAAGCGAGAGATTCAAGGTATATAAGCTCTTCTCGCTGGTGATCGACAAGCTGGTTCAGGGCCATTGTTCAAGTCCGCGAAAGCCAGCATGTTCCAACGATTGTTTTCTCTCCCTTTCCTTACGGCTCTCGTGAGAGCTATTGACATTCAGGTTGCGAGTAGTGGTGGAAATGCCTCTTCGCCTATTATGTACGGTCTCATGTTTGAGGACATCAATCAATCTGGGGATGGTGGAATCTATGCCGAGTTGATTCAGAATCGAGCGTTCCAAGGAAGCACTCCTTTCCCCTCGACGATTTATCCGTGGACACCGATTGGCGATGCGGCCTTGAGTCTTCAGAATACAGATACTCCTCTTTCTTCTAGGCTGCCTACTTCGATCAATGTCGCTTCCAATTCTACTTCTGGCTCGAAAGTTGGACTTGTTAACCCAGGGTGGTGGGGAATCGAGGTCAAGCCACAAAAGTATACGGGTAGTTTCTGGGCCCTGGGATCTTATACTGGGGATTTCACGGTCAAGCTCCAATCTAGTATCTCGAATGAGACGTTTGCTAGTCTAGATATCCCATCTCAGACTGTGGCCGATAAATGGGTGGAACATATTTTCGTCCTCGAACCGACAGTTGCTGCCGAGAACGCGAACAACACTTTCTCTATCGAGTTCACTTCTGGGAGTGGCTCGGTGAACTTCAATCTTATCAGTTTGTTCCCGCCGACTTATAAGAATCGGCCGAATGGTCTTCGGGTGGATTTGATGGAGGCATTGAAGGCTCTTAATCCCAAGTTCTTGAGAATGCCAGGAGGGAATAATCTGTAAGTCGATATATGGACTGAAGTTTTGGTTTGTGAATTTGCTGATGGGTGTCTAGAGAGGGAGATATCAGTCATTACCCGTGGAGATGGAATGATACCATTGGTCCTCTTACAGAGCGTCCAGGACGTCCAGGAACGTGGTCATACCAAAACACAGATGGTCTAGGACTCATTGAATATTTCCACGTAGGTCTCTTCATCCCCCTTTTTCTTTCACCCAACTAACATAAATCCAAGTGGTGCGAAGACCTCGAAATCGAGCCCCTCCTCGCCGTCTGGGCAGGCATGTACCTAGGCGACGAAGACGACCACCTCCTCACCGCCGAAGAACTCAAGCCCTGGGTCCAAGACACCATGAACGAGCTCGAGTTCCTCCTCGGCCCCTCAACCAGCACCTACGGCGCCGTCCGCGCCTCCCTTGGCTACGAAGCACCCTTCCATCTCAAGTACCTCGAAATCGGGAACGAGGATAACCTCCCCAAGAACGGGGCGAGCTCGTACATGAACTACCGCTTCCCCATGTACTACGAAGCCATCTCGGCTGTCTACCCGGATCTCATCATCCTCTCCTCGACGGGGGATTACACCGCTGTCGGGGGGAGTGGTGCGAATGCTACGTGGACGGACTTCCATACGTATTCTCGGCCGGATTTGTTGGTTAGCTGGTTTAATAAGTTTGATCATGCGTCTACGGAGCATAAGACGTTGATTGGGGAGTATGCTATCGTGCAGGAGAATCTTCCGGGTGCGAAACTGGAGGGTGTCAATTGGAGTCTTCCAAAAGTCAAGTTTCCATCCTGGATTGGCGCGGTGAGTGAGGCGATTTGGAGTATTGGTGCCGAGAGGAATGGGGATAAGGTTATGGGGATGAGTTATGCGCCGGGGTTACAGAATATGAATAGTTATCAGTGGAGTGTATGTTTTTCTCTTTGTTTTCCTCCCTCCCTCTTGCCCGCCCCTTTATTTTTCGCTTGGGAAGTAGGATGAGATATCCACGATACACAAGAACCTCACTAACAAATTCCGTAAATACAGCCCGATCTAATCTCCTTCACGGCCCTCTCCTCCCAAACCACCCTCTCAACCTCCTACCAAATCATCTCCCTCTTCGCCCACAACACCCACGAAGCCACCGTCCCCGCTCTCTCCTCCTCCCCCTACGGCCCCGCCTATTGGGTCGCTGGCACTAATACCATCTCCAACTCCACAAAGGAATTCATCTTCAAAGCAGCAACCTACAATACCACCTCACCCATCCCTTTCAACGTCACCTTCGAGGGTGTAGCGCTTGGGACAACGGGTACACTTACGGTTCTGGGTGCAGATGGGGGATGGAGTGCGAATTTGGTGGGTGGTGAGGAGGTTGTGCAGAGGAGGGAGGGGGTGCTTACCGCTGGGGAGGGGGGGACGTTTGGGTTCGAGATGGGGGAGTGGGAGGTTGGTGTGCTGAGGGTTTAGGGTGGTGGTGATGGTGGGGGAGAGGAGGAGAGTGTTGGAAATATACATTTGTTATTGGTTTTGTTTTTACTTTTTTGCTTTTTTGATATTGTGAGATTTGGTTAATATTGTGTTTGTGAGATTTACGTGATGATGTTTCAGTGTGAGGTTATTTTTTGAAGGATAAGATAGGATAGGATGAGAGGATGGGAGGATGAGAGGATACTTCTCGCCCGTACTCGTACAGCGGTTTCCAGCCACGTACTGGGCAGATATAAAGGTAAGAGTTATAAATAGATATTCCTCTTATATACATAATAGTCAGTGCGTCTCCCCACAGCGCTGTCGCTTGTGGTCAGGTGAAGCAAGTGTCCTGTGTGGCACACGTATACGACTCTTTCTACTTATATAGCGCCACCTCTACTAGTCAGAAAGACATATAAACAACACCAATTTATAGACGCAATTGACTACTGTCCTATACGAAAAGGGTTTAATTTTTGAATATGATTTGCGTACAATGTAGATAAGTTTATTAGTATTCTAACACCTACCGATCTTAGTAGGGTACAGCACGTGCGCCCTTGCTGCACCTATAAGATGTTCTCGAAGAGTCTCTCTTTTGTAGTATCTATAGTTCTTCTTAATATACGAACACACTACGGCTATATTTAGCTAAAATACCACTCACTTATAGAGCTAGATAAGGGCTTTCTTTCGAGCCTATGTAGACAATTATAGCTTAAAAATTAACTCTAATAGAAGAACTCTTAGGGAGACAGGACACTTCCCTCTAGGAAATCGAGGCCAGATATGTACGAAAATATCTAACACCCGCCGCGGGCCGTCCCGGGGTACAAAACTATCCCTAGCGCGCATATTTTCGTATACTAGCAGTAGGCGCAAAACCTTAAATATCCTACTAAAGACGCAGTTCTTTATCTACGAGTTTATACGTTTACTTGTTTATAGGCAGAGAAGGGAGAGAGGCGGGGGTATAGGGGTATTATAGAAGGAGAGACTTACAGGAGGGCAAAGTAGAAAAGTACTTACAGGGAGGGATAGAGGGGGAGGGACAGGTAGAAAGGGGGAGGGACAGGTAGAAAGGGGGAGGGACAGGTAGAAAGCGGGAGGGACAGGTAGAAAGCGGGAGGGACAGGTAGAAACAGCTAAGTACTTACAGGTAGGTAGGGAGGCAGAGGGATAAGTAAAATCAACTAATTACTTACAGGTAGTTCATAGAGGTAAAGGGAGGAGGAAAGGCTCTCTAATATAAACAGATAGCTAACGGAAAGTTCGGGTTACGCTAAAACTCTCTTAAAAGCTAATTATAGGCTGTGTCGGTTCCTAAAAGTATAATATTTTCTTCTAAAATACCCTCTGTTTTCGCTTAGTAGGAGATAATAAAGTATAAAATCCGAAAAGTAGAGACGCCTACTTTATAGTACTCAAATCTCCACTTTTAACTACCTAATTAGGCCTGTGTACGAAATTTTCGTACGTGTACGAGAATCTCTGCCACCGAGTTCCCAGAGGACTTGCTTCACCTGACCACAAGCGACAGCGCTGTGGGAAGACGCACTGACTATTACGTTTACAATATACATATCCTCTCAACCCCTTTACACCCTCTTCTAACCTTCAAGACGATTTACTATATATAAACCCCGCCTTACACCCATCATTAAGTATTATCAACTAGATCCAACCCGTCTTCTAATAAGAAAATAAAAGAAACCACAGATTTCTATCGATATTTTTCAGAGCTTGCTAAGGGTTTTGTTAGGTTGTTGGTAGGAGTTTACTTTTTTCTATAGCAGAGTTAAATTTTAATGGATGGGGTGAGGATGTATAGTTTTGGAAAGTTGTTACCTGAGTATGTTTATGTTGTGCTGGGTCTACTTTCTCTTTTTCTCCACTTCCTTATTTGATCCACTTATAGTTCTGCTGCCTAAATGCTTCATGTCTGCCTAAACCTTACACTCTTTATATAAACACCTTAGATAGCTACCTTTTACAATGCAATCAATTCTCCATGACCTTCAGTACCCAATACCCTTTCAACCCAATAGTTTATTATGGATATCTACTTCATTGTTCTGAATTTATTGCATAGTGGGGTTTTGGATTTGGAATTTGTGGTGTCTATGCTTTTGATGTGGTATTCGGAGTGGATTTTGTATGGACAGGTTTAAGGGACTTGTTCTGTGGGTTGTGGATGGGTTGTTGTTAATTGTTACTTACAGTTCTAGCAAGTAAAATTCTGGTTATTGATATGAATAAGATAGTATATAGCTTTAATACAGCAAGGTTAAAATGATGATGGCAATGAAAAGATATATATATTAAGTTAAATGTTAATGTGCCAGAACTCTAAAGGAGAACTGGTATATATAGTAGCTGGTATGCCATAAGCTAGTCACATAATTATGCTTCTTCAAGCTTTGCTCTTGCTTCTGGTGTAAATTCACTTGCAACTTGCTGTTTCGCTTCATTCTTTTGACAGGTTAGTCCAAAGGTAATTCGCTGGGTTTAGACAGTATAAACACGTGGGCTGTTCTATTCACTTACAATTCTCAACCTGTGAATATATAGGTAGCAGCAACGTATGATTTGATAGTAGATGTTAGTGCTATGAGGTCTACGTGAGCAAGGGTTATGCTATTACATTAACATTGGGGTGAAACTGATAGCTCTAGGGTTGATGAAGAGGTGAATTGGTCTATGAGTAGCTGTGGAGACGTGATGTTCATGGAATAAACACTTATATCGTATTCAGCGCACTGTTTATTTTCCCACCACGATCTCTACAACAACGTCCTGAGCACAACCGGTTCACTACCACATAGTATTGTTTGTCCTTTTCCCCTTCAACAGGAAGGGAAGAAAAATCACAGCCCCCATAACAGAAGGCCATGGAGAGTACCGGTATGTTATCAACTTCGGGTATCGCAAGCTCACTCAGAGCAGTCAACCGGACCAATTGCACTGCGTAGCCTGCTCGCGAATCAGCTGCCTCAAACACCAATCTCAATGGCATAAAGGCCTAACATGCGCTCAATACGACAAGGAGGTGAAGATTAAAAAGATTCACGAGAAGGAGGAGAAGGAGTCAGAGGAATACCTGAGGGAGCAACGAGACGCAAAGATTCACCAGCGGTGACCTACCTGCGCCAAAACCCCACCAAAAAAAAAGATACACTATAATCTTTTTTTCTCTAGAGATAATTAGTACTAGCATTTTTTTCAAGGAATAAGGAGGACTTACATATACCTACGACCGAGCGGTCTGACGCTTGACCAGGGCGCGTCCAAGAATAACGGAGCGAACAGTTGTGGTGTTGGCGCTTGTGGCGGATTGGTGCATATGGGAACACACACTAACTGACTGGGCCAGGCGGGCAGGTTACCAGTTTTGATGGTGGTGGATGTGGTATTTCAAGATACTAATGTTATTTTATGAATTTTGTGGGGCTGAGGGCTACGCGAGGGATGCTGATTGGTTACTCGAGTACGGGGAAAGCTCGGGGTGATTTTGTGGGACTTGCGCGACGACAGCTGGGGGTTTCCAGCGGCATGCGCAGTAGGGATAATTTATTGCTGGAACTGGATGGGAGCAGCATTTTGCCGCTACAGAAAAACCTGGATATAAGGATGTTCGCGGGGGCAAGTTTCGTAAGGATATAACCGAGGTTATCCTTATAGCCAGGTTTTTGTATGCGCATATGAGGAATGGTGGTTGCGCGCGTGAGTACTTCCAGTTTTTTTTTCTTTCAGACTGTGGACCCCGGGTTTTGCAAGTTTGGAAAGATGGACTAATGTTGGGTTTTGTAGATATGCGTTGCGGAAAGTGCGGCATAGAATTTTACTGGCAGTAGCGCTTAAACATGTATTTGCTCTCAGAGGTCCTTAGGTTCATCTTGTTGTGGCAATAATTGGTGGCGGTCACTTTGGTACCACAAGGTACCATGAAACAACCTTTGGTTTACCGTACCAAGGAGCGAACCAACTTAAAAGGCACATTGAGGGTATGAAGCTTGCGAGTTATCTTCAGGCCTTGGACCTTTCTTTTGTGAGAAGACTGACTGAGTTCCTTCAGGAATAAGCTACAAAATTGATAGGTACCTAGCCGAGTGTGCAAAGAGAGCGTCTTATAGGTTAAGGAGACTCCGGAACACGATGGATTCCATTCAGGATGTTAGGCAGCTAAGATAGGAGTCTTTGCTAAGACGATAGGGCAAGTATGGACTCAGAATTTCGTGGGGTTCTTTTTATCCGAGCAATCCAAGAATTTGAGGTTATTCTATTTGATATCTTGGCAAACCAGACCAAAAACTATATCTCCAATCTGCCGATAATGACGTGCGCATCACCTCGCTACAGCCTTTCGACTTCGAATACCAATCTTCTTCGGTCAGGTGGAATCCATTGACCGTTCTCCTCACTAGGAGCCAACCCGTCATCCAGCTGCGCCTTTACGTTCCACTCCGTCTGTGTCTTTTGACCAATCTCAATCCACAACCGCTTAAAACTTTCCACATTATGTGCGAATATCTTTTTCGTGCCTCTAATGTCTTCCCGAGCTTCCAACATGCCCATCTGTTGTCCGATGATGAGTACTCTCTTTTCTGGCTTCAGCAAACGGATCACCTTCTCACATGCCTCGACTTGTTTATCCCAATCGAAGAGATGAAGAAAAAGGCCGAGATGAACGATATCCATCTTGGGTACCGATTTTGACACCTCGTCATTTTTCTCCAAAAAATCAGACACCATGAAATGTATGCCCGAAGTTTCTTTGTCACGGAAGAATTCGAATCCTAGATCCAGAAAGCCTTGGTCGGTATCAAGGCCGTAGAGATTGGAAGCCGTCGCGCCATCATGAACTAGCTTTCGTAGCTCTTGCCCTAAGCAGCATCCAACATCTAGAAGATAGCCTCCAGATTTAACACGTGCGAGGATGGTTGGATAGACGATATATTGCGACATGCTTAGTTTGATGAAGCGGAAGCAACCGATGCATGGATATGGGTAGATTTCCCATGCCTTTTCACGCTTTGATGGTGTCAGTCACCTAGTCCTTGGTACACAAGCTTAATGATAAGGAACTTACAATGTCTTGGATGTGGGTTATGACGTCTTGGGGGGGGGTATGTGAGCGTAGTTCTCAAGAAGATCTTTTTGCGCTGGTGTGATATATTTGCTGATCCATTCTGGATCTGCATTCTGGATCTGTGTACCAAGTTGCTACTGTCTTGTCCTTGCTGCCAACATGAGACCAGGGATAGCTTGCTGCCATTTTGAGATTTGAGTGTCCTTAAGTTGTTAGGTTGTAAGTTGTGATGAAGAAGTTGCGAGCTTGTAAACTGAGACGTGCACTTAAGCTTATATATATCGTTGGCTCGCGGGACTGACTTTTCCGTCACAGAACTCCGAGCCACTAACACCACCACATATCCTTTGAATCCAGCCAATCAGATGCCAGAAATGTGCTTGGATATATGATCCACGCATAAAAAGCCAGTTTAGCAAGCATGCGTACAAACACGCATACATACATAAATACAAATTTAGAAATAACCATCCTTAGTATTTAGCTATACCTACCTGGCTTAATCTATTAAATCACACATTTCGTCATTATAGAATATATATTAACTCTAATCAAAAGACTTCACATGTATGAAAAATATAATCTTTTAATTACAATTATCTTCCATGTCAAGTTATCACTAGTAGCTAAAAATGTTAGTTCTAACTTACTGTAAGTTGAGGTCGAGAGGAGTGAATCACGAATTTCGAAAGGTTTCGGAACTACGTCACCATTCAAATAAGGCTGGGATTACCCCGTTATTCGAGAGCAATCAACTCCAGATCTGCCAAGCTCGTTTCGGGAAAACGTCAAACTTTTTGGATGAAGTACTGGTAGCACAGTGTACTCAGCCTCACGGACGTGGTGGACCTCTGAGACATACCATTAAGGAAAGTCGCCAGTCACAAGACCACAAGATTTATCATATGTGGAAGAAAACTTTGATATACCAAAGCTGGGCTTATGAAGCTGTGATCATTCTTGATTCCCCCTGCTTTCTTATTGAACGCGCCTTGCGTATATCTGAACAGGTGGACTGCATGTATTCCAATCTGGATCATCATACGCAACTCATCCCGCAATCCTTCAATCTTTTCTCACTATTATTCCATTAGCAAGTATCGCGTTGAGCATGTTGTGACTCGATAACGAAATGCAGACTTCTTTGTTCAGACTCAGGCCAAGTTGTCTCGCTTAATTCCCCCTTTAATTGTTTTACTACCATGCAAAACAGTGTTACAAGGAAAAACAAAGGCCCTTACGGTGACAATAAACACAAAGAATCTAATGAATTCACTTTGAACTTGTATCAAAAGATTTCTGAAACATTGCGAGACCACTAAACAACTCCATTTCCCTATCCATAAAAAACGAAAACCGCCATCATGACTCGTCCAGAATTTCCCATCTATTCACAAACTGCTCCTCCAATACACTCAATACAAAACCAAACAAATCATAAAACTAAAAATGCCAAGTCAATATACCCGAGATGAATGGGCAGCCACTCTCATGGTCTCAGGTCTTTCTGGCGAGGTAAGTCGCGGCGATTTACTAAGCCTTTTCGAAGTCTATGGTACAATCAACAGTATTTTCCGCGGCAAATGCTCGCAAGGATTTGCGTTTGTTACCTTTGAGGACGATTCTGGTGTATCTGAGGCCCGAAGGGAATTGAATGGCTACAGATTCAAGGGATGCACCTTTGATGTTCGGCCCGCTCGATGAGGAAAGAAGATTTCTTCAGTTTTCATTAATATACCATTTCTTTTTTCTTATTCATTTCCCAAACTTTAAGTATATATATATTGAAAAGAATCTCTCCTTTGCTAGTACTGTGCCTGTTTGTGACTATGATGAGCGAGAGTAATCATGTTTGACTTGCAAAAAGAGTTTTACTAAACTAGTTATTCAAATCATCTTGCGTAACCTAGTTTCTTCTTTAAGATCACACGAGACTAAATGTAAGAAAGTAAATATTTTATGCTATGATTCATTACGAATGGCTGTACCCCCAGTAGAATCTGTGTTTGAATATAATGCAGATCTGTAGATTGATTTTGGATAGTGTAACACTCCGTTATTTACCTGGCGATGCAAAGTGAGGTGTCTTAGCCTTCATTGGTAAAATTTGATTGTGAAACGTGTCACTAGAGGTGTGTTACACATGAATCCGCCCTAATTTCTCATACTCCGAGCTTGCAGATTCACGAGCTTCCTATTTTGCCAAATAGCCACCATGACGTCACCAGTATCCGAAGCACTTCATGTCTCGGAGAACGACCAACGACTCTCATTCATTCAACGCTAAATCGCAAAGAGAACGTGAAAATCATCATAGTCATTTCCAAACTCGGTCAGAATATAATGGCTGCCACTATAATCACATTGATCAATGCCTTCCAGGCATCCTTCGCAGCTTACAATCTCTACCTCGCCTCCATCTCAATCAGTAACCTCCGAAGGTATGAAGAGAAGAGCAAGAAAGCCGCAAAGTACTCCAACGTTGCCGAGCACCAGCTGCACAAAACAAGAACAACGCAAGCTAGCAGGACGATAGCCGTAAGTCTAACCTAATATCAAAGCCAATCTTCCCTGCAATACAACAACCAACACTAACGGTTTGCGATACAACAGGTATTCGTATCCTTCGCAAGTTCCGCATATCTCTTCCTCTCCTCTCGATTCAAATTCACCGCATCGCACTATGTGAGCGCATTCATCGCTGCGCTGAATATAGCCGTCTTAGTTGCAGCGCGAACCCATGTTGGGCGCTTCTGGAAGGGAAAGGCAAAGGTGCCGCTGCCGGGTGTCGGATATTATAATGAAGCAATTACAATCACGCAGACTGTTCGGTTGAATATGTTGTACTTGATCGTGGGTTGGGTTGTTGGTGGAGGTTTGGGTTGGATTTTGTAGGCTCTGCGGCGGCCACTCTCGCACAATTCATTTTCGGCCATGTGAAATCGTATGTATGGAATCTCGAGGTGGAGAAAGGAGGCAAAGGAGGAAAAGTTATACTGTGAGAGGAGAGAGGCGGTCCATGTCTTTCTTCTATATCGTTCTGGTATCGGTGTGGTTGCACGCGGAAGACGAGGTGACAAAGCAGGAGCAACCTCCTGTATGTAGAATTGGCCGAGTCTGATTGCGAAGGTCGAGGGAAAGTGCTATCTCGTCTCTATCCTGATATGGGAGACTTTTAAGTTGGATAAGGGCCGGGTGAAGGAAAGGCTAAGTCAAAAACTCCTATTCAGTCAAAGAAAAGGCAAAACTGGAGGTGGCCTCAATGGCCCTCACCTTTGTGAGTTCGTGGTCGAGGTGAGGCACAACAATATGGGAACGATCACCAGAACGTTTGGAGTTAACGCTCACTTCACCTTGTTTTGCTGTTTCTCCGGACCGGGGACAATTACATAGACAGGTAGCTAGCTATACTCCAACACCAGCGTTGACATTACTGCAGCAAGAATAGGAATGGAGATTTGTTCTGGAATTGATAGAGCATGAGAATTCTTAGGTACAATATTAATACATGGAAAGGAAAGGAAACGACTTGGTGATCATCGACGCTTCGTCGCTTGCGTGGCTCTTGTCTCGCTTATCTGAGGCACTGCCTTTGAAGCCCACAAGGCACTTAAAGCTCAAATTTTAGACCAATCTGTTCAAGTGGTTCCTTTCAAGTCTATCGGGCATTGGCTATCAATAGGCAATCTTTTTGGCGCTTGTTCTTTCGCAACACCCCCCAAACACCAAGTACGATTTTGAACTTTACCTCGTTTTTGCAATCAGAGGCTTCCTTACTAACTTTCTTCTTGGTCGCAAAGATCGATCTCGAGCCAAAGGATGGCGCCAACACAAAAGGAAGTCAGAGAGTGGGTGCTCCAAAGAGCGCAAACCAGAGATTTCTACAAAGCAGATGGCAACTTTATAGGTAAGCAGGCGATGAAGGCAAAGTTGCTCAACGAGTGGCCAGGGCAACAAGGGAAAATATCCAGAGCTGTCAATGGGTAAGTGACTTGCCCCAGTCAGGGCTTTGGTGCAATTGCTTACTGAGCTTTACAATGTCAGATTGAGAGGTAAAGTCGACTTCCCGATTTCATGGACCAAAAAAAAAATCGCAGTCCAATGATGCCACATACTCTTCAGTGACAGACGAGAGCATATCCAGGCCAGTCCAAAACAACAAAACAGGACCCCAGGAAGATCGAGAAGTTGCGCGACAGTCATCCAATGGGAACGATGAAAATTTGCGACCAAACATCAACGGCATGCCACAATTTCATTTTCAAAATGGAGTGACGTCGCAACAAGGGGTAATCTTTGCCCTCTAAATTTGGCATAGCTATCTACTAATCACTTGTATTCAGACCGCAACTCGCCCAGTTCTTGCGGGATCCGATCTTTTAAGCACTCAAAAGACACAGCCTGAAAATTCTATGCTCACCGAAACACCTCGCTATCTCTCTCTTGGCCCTGCAATCGTTGATGACCATAAAGAACAACTACCCGCAAACGACTCTAAGCAACAGATTCCTTCCAACCCAAAGATTGACGGTACGACAAAGCAAAACTCCATATATAACCCGAGGCAGTGGGCTAACATGCTTTAGCGTTGCTAAACTACCTCAATGACTCAAAGCCGACTGAGGAATCTTCTTTTGCGAGATTTTTCGCGGAGGCATTAGATGTTGAACCTCAAGACATAGAATCGCAGCTATTGCAGCGCCTTGACAAAAGTGAACTCAACTCAATCGGTGTGGAAAATGAAAGACAGGACGTCAAACATGCAGTACTTTTCTCCGAGGCCCTTCTTGATCATTCTGCCAATCAATTTCCACAACATGGCCTTCTTGGAACATTCGACCCGGTCGGTGGCGACAGCAAGAAACTTTACCTCAACACAAACATCCCTTTCAGTGCATTCATTTGTGGTGTCCAAGGCAGTGGCAAGTCCCATACCTCGACATGTATGATTGGTAAGTGACAGAGTATTCTTCGAGACTTCATCTTCTCACACTACTACAGAAAACCTACTTATCCCCGCTCCGTTCCTTGGTCCCCTCGAAAAACCTCTCACGGCACTGGTCTTCAACTTTACAAGTCATACCTCCGAGGCGACTTTCCTTCCCTGCGAAGCGGTCTTTCTAGCAGCCCCAAACCAAGCCCTCCATACTCCATTCAGTGCCAGAAAGGTCAAGGTCTTGGTATCTCCCTCAAACTATCACAATTTGGGTGCAGCATACTCGCAAATCCCCGGCGTAGAAGTTCGACCCTTTAAGCTCAAGCCCAGAGATTTGAATATCAGTAACATGTTGACTCTCATGTGTATCGACCAATCTCAAGGACCGCCACTTTATATAGGCATCATCACGAAGATCTTGCGTCAGATGGCAACAGAGTTGGCTGGGGGCTTCACTTATGTTGAATTCAGAAGAAGAATTAATGCTGCTGGACTCGATCAGAAACAAATGGTGTTCCTCGAGCAAAGACTCGATCTCCTGGAATCGTTCATGGATCTCGATGGCTCGACCGAAAATTTGAGCTTCGAACCGGGCGAGGTTACAATCATGGATCTATCGTGTCCTTTTGTGGATGCGAGCACGGCCTGTGTTCTTTTCAAGATTGGCATGTTCCTGCAGTCTGGCGATGCTTCTGGAAAGGTCGTTTTCATGGATGAAGCTCACAAGGTAATACCCTCTCCACTAATATGCAAATAATCTTCTAATGTATTCAACAGTTCATGACCGAAACCCCCGGAGCCAAAGCCCTCACCGAAGCCGTCACAGAAGTCATCCGCTTACAACGACACTACGGCGCCCGCGTTATCATTTCCACCCAAGAACCCACTATATCTCCCAAGCTCATTGATTTGTGCTCGATCACAGTCATTCATCGTTTCACAAGCCCCGAATGGCTGTCCGTTCTGCGACATCACATCTCCGTTCCTGGTGGTGATGAAGGGGGTCTTTATCGGAAAATTCTGCGATTGCGTACAGGTGAAGCTCTGGTTTTTGCACCTTCCGCAGTTATGGGGATGGGTGGTGGATATGAAGAGTCTGAGCCTTTTGATTTGCTTAGAGTTAGTGTTCGTCGTCGTATTACCTGGGATGGTGTAGTAATAATTGTTAGTGTTTGATTGGGATGGATAGACGTACTTTCTAGTTTGATTTGGTGCTTGAGCGAGATAGATAGTACGATTCTAAGCAAGATATGACAGAGATAGATCTGTAATTTTCTCCTAATGGATACGAATGTTATTAGAAGCTTCGGGTTACTTTTTAAAGTGAAATGAATGCCTAACAAAACTATGGAACTAAAAGGTAACAAAGTAATTAGAACTTTTGACTTACGAAATTTACAAGTAACTCCTATACAAACTCTTCTATCCCCAAGTAAATCTTTGATTACTTATTAATTATTATCAGCTAAAGTTTAGTGCAAACAAAACCTTTCTAGTGTTATCGGTGTACTATATACAATGATAATAATAATGGCATTCTATTTCCCATGATAGACTTAACATTCGAAGATTCCTACACCTTTACAGATGCGCTTTATGTAATAGATTAACACAAGATACATTTGTAAACCCCATGACCTCAGCCCACAATTATATTGTAGTTAGAGTTCAAAAATTTCATGTACCAATTAATAATATGTAGATTATCATAGCATAGATTCAAACACCCAACTTCTGACAATGATTAATCGGTTTTATTACCAGTGGATAGAGAAAGTTCGCTTAATGAAGGCTTACATGTGCCATCACAATCAATTGTCGCTTATCCTAATACTGCCTAGTACAACGCATTCTAATTCACCTTCAAAGACTGTGTTGTTCTTGCAAGATGCTTTGTTGAAGTGGTAGTTATATCAGTTCTTTGAAAACCTTTGTAAGGAAACTTACTACCAATCATTGTGTTCTCTCAATAGAGCAGCAGAACAATGATTTCACCTAACAAAGAGATGAGAATTAATTGCAATTGTTTACAAGCAGAACAGCTGGTTGAAGTCTGCGATGTTTTATCTACAAAATCTCCTGCATTTTCAATTAGTGATCTCAACTCACCACCCACTTCCACCAACCAACCAACCAAACTAACAAACAACCACATCAAATCATGCAAATTTACATGTCTAGACAACAACAGGCCGCTGAGGCATACGCTGAAGCACGCGCCAATCTATGCGATGTCCAACGCGAGTTTCTCGGCGTATTGGACGAGCTCACCCTTCGAAGTTCGAAGTTCGGTCATCATCGGTTGTGCGTAGGGATCTCGAGTTAACGGAGATATACTTCAACTCCGGCCCAATATGGGACAGCTATTTAAAACAATTTTACGACCCCCAAGTGCAAATTCAGAGTCATTTCAAGGAGTTTTGTGGCGATGTCGAGAAGGCGCTTGTCAGGGACGCAAAGCTCATAAGGCAATGTCGTAAGCGCCTTCGAGCCGCTGAGTTGCAAGTTAAGGAGACGGAGGCAACAATGGAGAAGTATGAAGCAGATTCCTTTTTGGGTTCTGATCAGTGCTTGCAGAAGAGCAAGACGTTCGAGGCAGAGTCTTCTCTGGCTTTGGCTCAGTTTTTGCCGTTTGCGTACGAGTAACGCGGTAAATTCTTTTCTTTGCTGTCAGGGCGACTAGTCTCTTTGCTCCTTTTTGTTCTATTCTGATTTTCTAACAGCGATACCAAAGTAAGTTTACAAATCTTCTTTGGCTATTTTGCTACGCCCCCTCCCCACTGCCCATACTTAAATTAAACCCCCCTTTTCCTTACTTCAGGTTCCTTTTTTCAAGTACCCAAATAATTTCTAGTGCCAAATCTTCTATACCCTTGTAACTGCCATGAAATGTAACGGTAAATGTTCCTTCCTAATCGCTCGGTGCGTAATCTGTTTAAACTATGATGAAAGAAGGTGCTGAGACTTGGACTGAGTTATTAATTATAAGAAGTAACCGGCAACGCGCAAATTATTGTCCTTTACGTAAAGATACACCTTAGCACTTCTCCTCGCCTCTTTAGTTGAATTTCAGGGCTCCTAACTCGAATCAAATGCAGAAGGGACTCGGTAAATGCGTCGGACTCGGTATAGACTATGCTACTGTGCATGATGATAAATGCAGCCACGTGTGACTAGTTATGAGATGCATGCTTTCCTAGGGCCACAGAGAGATTATTCAGTTAACTTGATTGTCAATTTGAATCTTCAATTTCAGTTCGATATCATGGGAAATATTCCAAGGTTTTCACGATGCATACCGAGCTTTGCTGGGAATATACCGACCCCACAACTGGAAGCTCAACAATAAACTTCATTAGAGGAAAGCTGCACTTGAATGGCGTGAATTATTTAATGCTCTCAGGCTAAAGTCTACTGCGCAGGTAGATCCGTGGTTATAACTTCCATAATTCATAATAGCCTATCATACATTCACGATTTAAATATGTAGTAGATGATTACTCTTTAAGCGGCGATAAAGTTGGTTGAGTATGGGCTGGAACGTCAATGATTGGAAGTGCTACTATAATCTAAGCGAATTATCTTCCTCCTATAGAATGGTTTGGTGTGCGAATAATTGTGTCCAGCTGTGAATAATCTTCCTGTAGGAGACCATTTGGCAGAAGACTTGGGTATAGCAATATTCCTTTGAGGCGCCATACTTTGAAATCTCACGGCAGTGACTTGGTTAATTATCTAATGAGTCAGGGAAGGGAAGTTGAAGTTAATCAAAGTGAATGGATGCTCAGGACCACAACTATATATTCTTGGTTTCTTACACTCACTATTCCCATTTCAACAAACCTCAAAGCTCTTCCAGGAGAATAAAATACTATACATATATATATCACTATTCTCACTGCGTCAAAGATAAAACGACACCATGTCTGACACAGCGAGGACTCAGAATATAACTCAAACTCCCCTGCAAATTGCCGAAGCCAAGAAAGTCGCCGCAGGCAGACGATACATAGGAGTACGATATAGAGCTTTCGAGCAAGCCCAGAACGCATGCGGGGGTAGATTGAGGGAGGAAATCATAAAAGTTGCAGCCGAACTCGGGTCGATGAGAGAAAGATACGAGCGAGAATTGGCCGAAAATGACCCTAACAGCAGCGAAACAGCGCGGGTCATCGACAAGTTGACCAGAAAGGCGTTGGACTTACAAAATCTATTGCTGGGGATGTCGTATCTCAAAGAAGAACGGGATGCTAGCGACGAATTGTCGAAGGCGCTCTGGGAGTTCTATCTTTTGAAGAAGGTGCCTTCCTTGACGGAGGAGTTATTAGGGGATAGTTTGGTTAGACGATACCTAGGTATTAGTTAGAGTTGCTACATCAAATTCAATAGTGTTGAGCTATGTATTAGTAGTGCTCTACATTGAAACGTATTATTTTCGTTAACTTTCTCTGTCTCTCTCAAGTACTTCAATGATATTTAAGAAACAATGTTTGGTCTTAATTTTAGTAGCATCATTTGAAGTATAAAAATAATTTTCCTTTTCTCGGGTAGTTACATCGAAAAAGTATGAAATGAAATTAGCTTCGTTGCAAAGACAATTTATTTCCTTGAAAAGGGTCTAAGGAACGGATAAACTATACTTGAATACCATATTAATGATTCACGGAGGTCTGAAAAATTCTTAAATTCCTTTCTGTAGCATAACTCCAAGTAACACAAGGGTTGATACCGTAGGATTAATCACGGCTGGAGACAGTGAAATACCCTGGCACTATCTCACACTACTATTTGACTCAGACGATAATTGTTAGTGAGTGTTTTATCAAAAAAGGCAGGCGGTTAATCAAGAATAAATTCTTATTTCTTTCAGACGACTAAGGGCGACCATTGTAGATATCTGGCCTCCCATACTCCTTCCAACCTTTTTGTTCATTTTTCATACACATTTCTACAACTACCTACTACAACGCATACTCCTGAGTACATCACCTAAGCAAACAATAACACATCATGTCTACACCACCAAATCCTCAGAAGGAGAACACAACTCAGAGACCAACACAGAGCCGCTGGATCCCACAAACCCTTTTAAACTCCAAGGAACTATTCGAGGATCCGAAATTACTGTCACTTCAGGAGAAGAGGAATATCGACCGCAAAAGGATCTCTAAGCAGATCATAGAGTGCTTCGCGTTAGGCCATTTTGTAAGGTTTCTGTGTGAATATAAACCGTTGGAGGGAGAGAAAGAGGCTGTAGAAGAGGTCATAATGGATTTGATTGAAGAACGCGGCGAGTTGTTTGCAACTCTTATGCTATCATCGTCATTTATCCGATCGATAGGAGATGACAGCCGCTCGAACGAAGACAACTCTACATCAAATCCTGGGGAGAAAACGATCGGTTGGGAGGGAAAGTTCGATGTCGTATTACTCTTTTTCGGGTGGTATGAAAGCAGTAAATGACGTGATTTAAGGATTTGGTGTGGAGAACGTGAAGGATTTCGACAAGTTCATTTCGGGGGTCATTCCGGGAGAAGAAACTATACGGCTGATACAGCGCTTTGTGCTTATAATTCTAGAGCCTCCACAGGGAGCTAGATCTTTACATCTTTAATACGACTGTTAGCAACAATTATTTCATGGTCATTTTATTCATGTTGAATCCCACAAGCTACAACGCCGTGAACACCGACCCTACCATTCCACCCTCACCCAAAATCAAGCCTCAACACCAACCTCCTGATTCACGGTATTTTCCTTTACCTCTAAATCATTCACCTTTTCCTCCAATTTTGCAATCTCGGCTTGGTTCTTCTTTGGTTCGTCAAATGATTTCCCCAATTGGAGGTAATTCCAGCAAACTAGATAAGCTGTCAGTAAAACAAATCGCACGCATCAGCAATGCAACAGAGGAAAACATACTATCCCAACCCAAGTTACCCCCAAAGAACATCTCCTCAACATCCTCTCCAGCTGCAACTCCTGCAGCTTCCGACCAAGAGATGGCTGACTTTCCGCAAGCTAGCGCCATCATTGGCTCAACGACGGGAAGAACCAAGAACTTGTGTGCCTTCAAAGTTCCCCGTTCGACGAGGATCTCTTGGTGTAAGTTTGTTGCAACAAGCAAACCCATGTGCATAGCACCTCCACAACGTTTAATACCAGACCATTTGACAATATCACCCAAGGCGAAATGATATGAGGGGTTTGGGATGGTGTCTTCAAAGTGGAGACTGGACGTGGATTAGCTTTTTTTTGTCTTGTTTTTGCGCATTTCGCAGTAAAGGGATAAACGTACTTATCATGTACTCTAACAAGTCCCTCCTCATCTACGGTGTTCTTTGGTAGATAACCCGAGGTAGAGTTACTATTTGAAATAGCCCAAATCACGTATCCGGCGGTTCGCTCTGTGCCGTCATTGAGCTTTAGAACCCATTTCCCTTCTTCCTGTTCAATACTCGAGCTCACACGCTTATTGAGGAGAACTTCTACACCAGTCTCTCGTAGAGCTTTCAGTGATACTTCCGCCATTTCGGTAGGGAGGGGCTCCGAAGATAGAAGGTGATCACGGGAGTGAATGAGTGTTACTCGTTGTGTGGGATGCAATGTTGCGATTTCCGATGCCATTTCAATTCCGACAGCTCCTATGATTGAATTAGTGCAAGTCCAATTCGATATCCAAGCCGATTATACATACCGCCACCGATAACCACAACACCCTTTCCATCCTTCAACCCCTCACCGACACAAACACCACTAATTTGCTTTCTTGATTCTTCCAAATATTTCTCTCTGTTAAGCTCTTGTGGCACAACCTGTTTGTCTCTCCGTAATCCGCTTGCTGCAACGAAGTAATCATATTTCTCCTCGTAAGTCTCTTTTGTTTTGTGATCAACAATTGTGGCAATTTTGGATGCGGGGTCAATTTTTGAGACGCTGCCTTGGGCTACGGAAATTGATGGGTGGTTCAGGGCTGGAATATCTGTATATTTGACCCAGAACTTTTCCGCGTAGCTCTCGGACGAGAATGCGAGAGGACTGCCAATCAAATGAACTATAAAGATTTCTATATCAGCTTTTGGGATCTCAATAACGACACTGTATGGTGTCTTATTTTGCGTGCTTTAATCCCACAATCTTTTCGTGAAGTTGCAAAACTGGCCGCCTTTCGTAATAAGAAATCACGTATCTAAATTCCGAAAGGAAAGAAACAAAACCACGGAAGAGGAAGCCTTGGAAAACTTACAATACCCATCCCTCTCATCAACAACCTTTATTCTCACATCTACCTTCTGCGAATCATCCACCCCATCTTTCCCCGAGAACCTAGGGTGTTTCCCCTTTGTCAAATCCAACAGATTCAACGCCATAGCCAGTCCGCCATAGCTTCCTCCAGCAACTAATATCCTCACGGGCTTCACCTCAGTTATAGCAGAAGGCATGTTGAAAGTTTGGAGTGTTGGTCGGATGGGGAAAACTCGATTACTGTGTAAGAAAGAAGGAAAAAGATCAATGAATTTTGAAAACAAGCCAGATGAACTCATCACTCAAAAAGACCGAGACAAAAAGACAAGGTGGGGGCCAAAGGGAGGGTTGCCTTTTTATACTGGAATCTCAAGGCCTTTTGACTGGCATTCCCCTGGTTGAGTATTTCTCGACTTTCGCATCTTTCTACACGTGTGCGGAGTTGCGGTGACAACAATGGGTTGACTTAACTTGAAATGGACTCAATCAGCCAATAAATCCCATGGACTATAGCACCAGAATAATGAAAAATGGAAGGAGGTGCCGTGCCAAGGGATCAAAGCGGGGAGGTGCAGGATCTGATTAGATTATGACACAGTTTTCATCTTATCTGATTGTGAGTCTCTCCACTGTGGTGAATCAACAGCCACTCAGACAACTGGAATCCATGACGCGATTTTCACCGATATCGCATCTCGGAACTTCGCATAGATGCGGAACTGGGAACACCTATCATTGGCCAGAGTAGGAGAGTGGGGCATGAGGAGAGTGAGGGATAAAGTTATCAGATCCGCTTAAGTGGGGGAGCGGGGCTTGGATAGGATGGAAAGGATCACGGCCCGGTGACGTTAATTTTTTAAGAACCAAGGTTTATCGTACTTGAAGTAAGTGTGAACTTTTTTGCTTTTCGAGAAGGGCCTTGACTATGAAATTGATATAACCCCGAAAGCAGACGTCGAATTTTGTTGGACTGTTGTAACTATTGCTCGACAAAGGATAATGTATTGACTGAGTACCATAAAGCTAACCTAGTGGATCTCGAACTCTCCTGCTGTAGGTCCATGAACCAAATAGGAATCAAAAGTGAATGACATGCAATCCCTATCCTTTAAAGAACAACTCCTCCCATCTGCTTGAGCTTCTTGACATGGACATCCCTCCAAAGAGCGACGCCAACCACCGTAATAAACAAAATACAAGTCCCTGCCACCCCCAATCTAAACTGAGCGACTGAGTAAGAATTAACTAGAGCTGTCCTCACTGGGTGCCCAAAGTTAAAACTGAGTTGTAACTCCAAATTTCCATAGATTTTGGCCACATCCTTTTTGGCGTCATCGGGAAGGAACTTCATCAGCTGTCCAGGAATTGTGTTTGACCATATTGCTCCAGCAAAGGCACCACCAAGCGAAACACCAAGAGCCATGCAAAGATTCTGAAATGCAAGAACAGCAGCCATTCCATCGTGCCCAGCAACGGCCATCGCTGCCATCTCTCCACAGACGTATAGTGTTCCACCCCCGAGGGAGACGAGAATTTGACTGATTATCAAGTAAGCCAATTTGGAATCTGATCGTGTGAATATTGCTATCATGATTCCTCCAGCAAACTGAAGCGGCATCACAGACCAACCAAGCCATTTGAAGCGACCTGATACGCGGACCAGATAACCGACAATGAGTCCGCAGCTGGAATTTGCGAGGTTTGGAATATTGCCAATGAAGCCTGCTTGTTGAATATCAACACCTTTCATGACTTGGAGAAATGAAGTAAAGTAATTGTCCCAGCAATAGTAGGCACCAAAAGATCCAATACAGGTTAAAGCAGCACCCATTACTGAGGGCATCAGAAGGATATTTCCTGGGAGGTATGGTGTAGGTGCCCCAAATTGTTCCCATAGCCCAAAAGCAACTAAAAAGCCAATGCCAGGAATAATCATGCCAAGTATTGCAGGTGATGTCCATTTGTATAATTCGGGACCAGTGAGTGAAAATGGGAGGAGGAAAAGAGAAAGCCCAACAAAGATTAGGAATGTACCGATAACTGTTATACAGATTAGTCCGGTGGTACTTCAATGGATTGACGAAGCAATTACCGTCAAATTCAACTGCGAAATGCTTAATGCTCTTCAGAGTGCTCCTTCCACTTCGGATCTTGGTTAGAATTCCGAGCCTATTAGCTTTACGTTGGTAATAGAATAGTAATCCAATAATCGGCAAGGATACGGTGGGCATAATAACAGCAAAGCATCCAAATACCCATCTAAAACCAGCCTTGGAGTAAAAAGCTTGTGCCAAAGCTGGACCAGCGAACGCAGTGAAAATGAATGGGCATTGGGCGAAGGCGAATGCGAAGGCGCGATTAGCGAGCGACGTTGTGTCTGCGACTACAACTGACAAAACATACATCAGTCCCTGAAATCCGACATTGGTAAAGGACTTTGAGCTGTTAATGAAGTTTCATTCTAAATGTAATGGAGAAGGATACCTGGGCTACCACATATCCAGGTACATTTTTGCAAACCGCGGTAAGAGCGTTCCCAAGGGCAGATATTGATACGATAACGACGAGACCTTCTGCTCTTCCCCAGTAATCCAAGATTTTGGACATTGGTGGTTGGAGAATGCCGCTTAGTATGTAAGATTCGACGACAACAACCGAAGTCAGAGCGTGAGAATTAAAAGCGCTTGCAACGTAAGGATTGAGTGCTAGTTGCACTTGAAACTGGAGAGAATTGGTGCAGTAGACCAGGAATATGCTAAGGAGAATTATTGGTGTCCAGATTGACTTCTCATTTGGTAACTTACCATCCATATGCGACAAACAAGGTGTTTTTATTCCAGATACGAGTAACGGCCTCAGCCTGCGCAACTCCTGGCAGCAAGTTCTTCTCAACCATGCCTTCTCCATCATTTTGAATGCCGCTGCTACTTATTGATGAGTCGTTCCCGGAAATATCAGGACTAGATTCCTTCGAGCAGACACTGCCAGCAACGTGTATGTTGGGAACTTCTTCCAAATCGCACGGAGGAGTCCCAGAAGCAGGAATTGAAGACTTCATGTTGAGACCAATAATAAAATATATAATCGTCTTCTCCTTCTTCTTTTGGAAGGTCTAGGGAGATGTAATTCTTAAAATGACCATGCTAGAGGCTCCTCGAGTTTGAGATATATTATTACAAGAAGGTGCAGATTTGTGGGAACCAGAAATTCGAGTAGATGCCCACTTACATGGCCGTGAGAGGATATATGCAGGTTCCTCAACGAATCATTCGCAGTCCCGATATCTCTCTAGATCAGACGGGAGGTGACACCGCAGTTCTGGCACTTGATAAATTCGTGATACGTAGTACAACCTAGAAATTTGTGCATCTTTGTAAACCATATAAGAACACAGACGACATGGAGTACCAACTCCGAAGATTACGCCAAAGAAACAGCGGCAAAACGGCAGAAAATTCCGGTAATGGACTAACATCATAAGAGCCATAGCTGAGAGTAGTGGCCAAACCAATCTGTAGCCTTGAGTGCCAATGTGCAGTATAAAACGCGCAGGTGTGCACACAATTGGAGCCCAAGCTGTTGTACTCTCGACAATCCACTGCGCCAGGATCTGCGGGAAAATGTAGCCTTCCGTCATGAATGGTCGTACTGTAATGAGGTGCTTCGTCACTCGAGCTCAAAGCAACCGATGTTGCCGTCGAAAATCGAAGACGTGGGGAGGCGGTCCTTAACTAAGAGAAGATCCATTGTGGTCTGACCCCTCTTTTCAAGAGGCAACATTGGACTTGGAATGGAAAGAGTCGTCTCAATGATGTCGATGCAGCACGTTGCACCATCAGCTCTTGGTGATGATGAGCCGTGGCAATGGCAATTTCTCACAAGCGTTTAGAATATCGATCCCTAAGGTAGTCAGTCTAGCTGGGTTGATGCATTCCGAATGGGTGGCCAAAATCGGTTGGAAGGTTGTTGGACAGTTGGTAGCGAAATGGAGTATTGTCCAAAAGCTCACTGTGTTTTAGAGGTCCATAATTACAGAAACGTGATACTAAATTAAAAAGGCGAGGGTGGTGTTGGGGCAGGAGCGAGCCTAGCTCGGTATGGTGTACATATAGTAGACAAGGGCTCCGTCCCTCCTAGACTAATGTAACCCTATCTACCTACAGAGCTAACAACTGGTAATCGGACTACGAGGGCGACCGCTTCTTCTTTAAATAGGTTGTGAATAGCATCATCTACTATTAATATCACTTGTCCTTAAACCTTTGTCGCCGCCGTAATTCCCCCTCGCTGGCGCTCTGCCTTAACACCTTCGAATACAATTATACCTCCTACTCTTCCGACATAGCAGTTCTTTTAGTCTTCGAGCTACGGTTGTACAGTTATTAGAAACATATATACTCTCTCTCTCTTCTTCTTTGTCAGCTATATTCGGCTTTACGACTATAGACGGTTTTATAGTATTACCTCGAGACACCTTCTCTACTTCTAAGGTTCGGCTAATTTGACTACGGGTGGTTTAGTTTAGTTAGGGTTCAAAATTTTGGTTCGAGAGCGCCGGAGTCTGTTAGGCAGAGTTGTTTCTATAATAGACTAGGTAGAGAAGTAGGGACTGCGCAGTTATTAGCGGGCCGTGAAGTACATATGTGAAGCGGGCAACTTATAAGACTAGGACGATAGAAGAGCCTTTGAGGGTAGAGGTTGAAGGGGTATGTTTATTTAGTTAACTAGCTACGGTTGTGAAGAATAGTTACGCTCGGTATCTAGGAATCTAGTAGGTTGTCTACGGTAGGAATAGCCTTAGGGAGAGAGGGGGGGATAGTTGTTAGGGTAGGAGCAAGCCTAGCTCGGTATGGTGTACATATAGCTAGACAAGGGCTCCGTCCCTCCTAGACCAATACAACCCCATCTACCCACAGAGCTAACAGTGCGTTGTGCTTCGGTATATGTACGGGCCGCATACCGGGATGCTGCCGGTTGATGTGCCGAGTATCGGGCGTGTAGAGTTCCACCTGCAGGTTCCTTCCAGATTCAGCACGTGCACTCCCTGTGAAAGCACGAAAAGCGGTGGTACACTTACACTAACTAGTGCTGCACCAACTTCCCACCAACTTCAGAGTTAGTGCGGCACCGACTTTCTAAAACTAATATACTTTTTAAAAAATTAATCTTTTTATAATTTAAATTTTAGTATTCTAAAATATTAAGAATAAGAAACTATATCCCTTTACTAAGTCTAAGTACTATAATATACGATTTATACTCTCTATTTAATTATTACTATAAGAATTCCTCTTTCTATCTTATATTATAAAAGGCCCTATTTTAATTATATAGCGCGTATAGCCCAACTACCCTTTATATCGCGCTAGATTTTAAAAACTACTTACGCTTACTATATACTTTATAATAGACTTCTATTTTAACTCTATAGCGTATAAAGCCTGTCACGGATGCCAACAAAGGATAAAGTGTATACAGCTTTTGAATCAATTGCTAGAACTAAAACCGTAGGTACGAAGAAATCAAACTAAAGAGAGAAGAGAATCTGAAAGGAGCGAAGTTATTTAAGTTGTTCCAATGCCAAGTCTCGTCACGTGCTTGGCCAAGCGAATGAAATCCTGTCAAATGAAATCCAGCTCCGTCACAGATATAATACCTTTTTATAAGTATCTAAACTTCTTTACTAAGCTAGTAGTTACTATGTAGATATTTATCTTATTCTCTTCTAGGAGTAAGGATTATAATGTCTACTAAACGTTCGCTACTTAAAGGAGATATAGTTTAAAATAAAAAAATTAGTAGAAAATAAAGAGATATATTAAGTAAAGTCGAGTTATATTCTTAAACTAATATATTTGACTTTAACTATATATATATTTATTCAGTAAATATAGCGACTTCGTTTAATAAAAATAAGTTATTTTAGAATTATAGCCTAGTTCGCTATCTAAGCTAGCGGTTCGCGCTATACATATAAAACCTCGTACTTCGATTATTAACCTATACTAAACTGTCACGAATCACGTAAGCATGTGACAAGTGAAGACCAGGCGGCGTCCTGACAGGTCGAGCACTATCATATCTCTTATAGCAAATAGGGATGCTTAGACTAGCTAAGCGATCCAGGGATTTCATTACATTGTAATCACGTGACCATTTGCATCGCCAGTATCGACAGGCGATGCTGGCGACATGTCGACAGCATCGACAGGCGATGTAGGCGACGGCGGAACATGAAGGTTCTATATAAGACTGGCACGTCTGCCATTAGATAGGAGCTTCGTGCTCAACTTAGTTATCAATCTTATCATATTAGTTTGACATCTTTGATACAAGTAACGAGTTCACTTCCAAGTGAACAACCCGATAGTCTTCTTCTTATCATAGCATACCAACCAGCGAACACCCAGCCAAGTTTAGTTAGCCAGTTTGAGTATTCGTTACATAAACCTCCTACCTCGGCTAGTAATAATCTAACTATTTCCTAGCTATAGCCTAGTTCGCTATCTAAGCTAGCGGTTTACGCTACGTATACGAAACCTAGTACTTCGACTATTAACCTATACTAAACCTTCTACCTTAGTTAGTAATAATCTAACTATTTCCTAGTTATAGCCTAGCTTACTATCTTGTCAAGGGTTGCACCCGTGGAGTGAGTCTTGGAGTGCTCCAGCGACATGTGCACGTGACCTCTAAGCAGACTTGGTGGAACCTTCTGGAGTATTGGTAAAGGACACGTAGCCAGTTCTGTGGTATATAGAGAGGGCTGGGAAGCTGCTTTGGGAAGGACAATCGAATCTTCTTGTACATAGACAACCTCTGTAGTTGAATTCATCAGCATTTGCTACAAGTCCTGACATATCTAACCTAGTAGTTCGCGCTATATATATAAAACCTACTACTCTTTTTCACTATCGAAGCGAGTAGATTACGCTATATATTCTAAATTACCTATTTCGACTAGTAATAATTAAATTATTTCTAAATTATAGCTCTTTTTACTATCGAAGTAAGTAGACTATACTATATAACGTGGTTTATCAGCGAGTCGATCATATCACCGAGTCGATCACTTTTTCTTGGCACAGAACTTTACACCTAAATAAATCAACCACAATATATTAAATTAATTATCGCTCTCTATATCTGACGAACTAGATATATCTATAACTTCTTGACAAGTTCGCGCGTTATGACCAGCTTTTCCACAAGTTCTACAGCGCCGCCTAGAAGGTTGCCCCTCCTTATAACCAACCCCCGCCTCACGCATGTCGCGTCGTACTTGCTCATCTACATCCTCCTGAGCTAACATATCCTGTACATCCTCTACTATAAGTGCCCCTCCTTGGCGGACACGAGTCTTTTTAGCCCTACGGCGTTTACTTAGGGCTTCATTTGCAGCGCGAAGGGTACGGACCTCAGCAGACAAAAGGGTCATCTCATGTGCCATTCGCTCTGTACCCTTTGCTAACGCAGCAACTGTTTGAAAAAGTGGAGTTGGCGAGCTTCCTTGATGACAGGCTATACGATTTCGTACAAGAGTTGATTGTGAAAGGGCTTCAGTTGGGTTGGAAGGGGTCTGGGACACCCAGGGGAGGGAGTTGGCACTACACGTCCGAGGGGGAGTTGGAGTCCGTAACCTTACGTCAAGCTTTGAAAGCACTGCTTGCGGGTTAAATGGTACTAGGCCAGCTCCGCGGAATCCAGACTGACAGTTTAGGACTGTCATTGTTTCCTTGTATGCTGCTGTAAAGGCTAGAAAGAACTCAACCTTTGTAATATGGTTGATATGGGCCTTGATAAACGTCTCAATCTGCCGACCATACGCTCGTTTTAACACACTATAGCACCCAACATCAAGTGGCTGGGTTAGATGGGATGAATGAGGAGGTAGTCCAAGAGTAATAATGTTGTGTTTCGTACAGTAGTCTTGGAACTCAGCCGATTCATGACTCTCGTGCCCATCCAAAACTAGTATTCGATACAGACCCTTTGCACGAGCTGTAGTGTGTTTATCAAAGTGCTTTAACCATTCCAGGCCTGTTTCATTATTTGTCCAACCATTGCTTGTCGGTTTCATAACCCAGTTAGGTGGGAGGCCGCCGTCGGTATACCAGTTGGAGAGATGGTTCTTGCCCTGAACTACCAAGAATGGAGGAATACTCCAGCCCTCCCCATTAATACAGGCAATTGCTGTAGCCCATTCCCGATTGCCTGGCTGAACTGCCTTGCCTCTACCACGTCGGTCTGCACGAGTAACAACCATTCTAGGACAAATAACACCCATCATAAAGCCTGTCTCGTCGAAGTTGTAGAAGTCGGAGTCTGTAACCCCATATTTCGCCCTCATATTCTCTACTAGCCGGAACCATGCGCCTAGCACGTCAGGATCTTCGCATAAGGCCCTCTGGAAGTCGTAAACGCGATTAAAACGCGTCTTAAGGTCTGGTTGTCGTTGTACGAATCGATGGGCCCAGAGCTTGCCGACGCGTCTTCCCCCCCGCGATTCAAGGATAAAATTAGCCATATCTTCTACACCAGCGAGCCGGGGCGCAAATCCTCTGGAATCCATATCCAGTATATACCGAATAATCACTTCCTCTTCTAACTCAGTCAACTTATGACAATTGGCTTGAGAATCTGGGCGGTAGGTTCGGCCAGCCATTCTGTCGGAAAGAGTCGTATATGGTACATTGTAGATCTTTGCCGCAGAGTGTTTGCTTAGTTTTTTGGACGACCGAATAGCCTCGATAGCTAGAGTAATCCGCGCTTCTTGAGTTTGAATTTCCATGGTAAATAGTTGAAGAAAACGTGTGTTGAAGTTTGAGGAGGTAGTGCCAAGGAAAAGTGATCGACTCGGTGATATGATCGACTCGCTGATAAACCACGTTATTCTAAATTAGTAATAGAGGAATTATATCTCTTATTCTAGATTATATTATCTAGCGTAGCTTAGTTGAATTAAACGACTATATAGACTAGATTTATCTATAGAGCTTATTATCTAGTTTAGGATATATTACCTTTAGATTTAATTATAGGTCTTACGTAGCCTTGGGCTTTATATCTAATAAAGTTTTTCTTCAAAAATATTACTAAAAATTCTAATTTTATTATTTTTATATTATAATTAAGATAATATAATTAATACTAATTAATATCAGAAAATTCTATTATAATAGAATATACTTTACTATACCTCGAGGTATATATTTAATTCAACTATTTAAGAGTTATAAACTAATATCTTAATATAAGTGTAACGAATACTCAAACTGGCTAACTAAACTTGGCTGGGTGTTCGCTGGTTGGTATGCTATGATAAGAAGAAGACTATCGGGTTGTTCACTTGGAAGTGAACTCGTTACTTGTATCAAAGATGTCAAAGTAATATGATAAGATCGAAAACTAAGTTGAGCACGAAGCTCCTATCTAATGGCAGACGTGCCAGTCTTATATAGAACCTTCGTCCTCTCCTGGATCCATCAGATCTCTTCCGGATCTATCCGGGTCCATCACGTGACAGTAATCAATGGAGATCCTTGGATCGCTTAGCTACTCTAAGCGATCCCTATTATAAGAAACCTGGGTGTGCACTGTCGAGGGTTGCGCCTCCTATTATGACATGTATCACATGGACACGTGATTTGTGACACTATCCCCTTTCTAGCCTAGCTTTGTCCCAAAGCTTAAGTACGACCAAAGAAATATCGTCAGAGGGTCAGCGACCTTCTGTTCTTCTTCCCACCATGCCACTACCTTCGCAACAAATCTCTGACAAGAAGAAGAAAGAGCGCTTTCGTCTTGCCAACAGTATCGAATCAACTCAGAACGAAATCATGGCTTATCCTCGCTGTAGGTCCCAAGGCCGTCGTTGTATCATGGATACTACTCAGTCCAGTCGGTGTGGAAAGCGATATCGATTGATTTTGGCAGATGGTTCTCTTCGACCCTAACCAACCACATAAACAATGCACTTTGTATCACAATCCACGATCGGAAATGTCTAACATCAAACAATGTAAACTGGCAATCGGCAACCCAACAACTCACTCTTCGGGATCTGGACGTCCTTCTTGCTGAAATCATGGAGCGTCAACCAACACAACATTCTTAGGACGAGCATACACCATATGCTATTCCTCTCATTTGTGATATCAGGTGGCAGGTTATCCCCTGAATGGCGTTGTTCGGATGCTTCTGATCCATCTGACCACAGCTGGCGCTCTCCAGATTTGACGACTGAACTGCGGATAACTTCAAAGTATATGCGTATGAAGTCCTTCTCCCGATCTGTTGGTCGGGTGTGGTTCAACGCGTCGAATTCAGAGTCTCCGTCGGCACCATTCTGGTTAATTTTGCACAGAACGACCTGGATGTGGCGCCATAAGACATCAATAATTCTTGACTGAGGGGTATGATCGTCTAACAAGTAGCTATCAATCTTGTTGATCGCTTCATGCAAGGCATCGAGCAGCATGGGAGGCAAACTATCGTCTTTCTGGCTAGCATTTTCTACTTCATCTCTTTCCAGCAGTCGAACAAGCACGCTATTCAAGACGGTATTGGTCTCTTTCCGAAGTCGATGATGGAAAGCCGTCAAAAGTTCCCGAAGAGAAAATGATTTTCTGTTCCAATGAAAGACCGTTGGATTTGGAAGCATTCGGAAACAAGATCCTTTGATATGAAGAGGTTTTGCAAGCATGCCCATAATTTCGAATGGAATATGGAATAAATGCTTGGTTTTGCTTCTCTCATCTAAGAAATGTTGGACCGTTGTAGTATCGCAACCAATGAGAACAAGTGTCTCTGCAATCTCATGCCTGCTCCCGAGTTGAAGTGTTGGCATATCCCCTTGCTTCATCTTGTCGAGAATTGGAGGAGCTTCCAGAGCACCCGAAGGGTTCAATCTGAAGATAGTAGGTACAAACCCAAAACAAAGCTCCTTCACCTCATCTAATGGAATGAGCCGGTTCTCTTCAAACTTCTTTCGTCCAGTTCTATCAAATGTGAAGACAATACCTAAACTGTTTGTGTTGCTCCCAGAAAGAATGTAGCCATTGCCTTCGGCGCGATATTGGTGCCATTTGCGATCAAACTCTTGCCAATATATTCCGAGCGCGGCAGCAATTTCGACAATATGATAGATTGTGCTCGTGGCGTAGGGTTTCCTGATATCTTGCATAGCATCCCAGGATCGGGTCTTGGGTTGGACAGCGACAGCAAAAGTGGAAACGTAATCAGGTAGCTTTGTACGACCTGTAGTGCTCCATTGTAGATTCTCCCAATTTCTGCTTTCCCTCTCCATTTTCTGTACCGCAGAAAGAAGATTCAACCAGCTCGCCCGCTCATTGTCTGCCGTGTGGACATCCTCTCGAAGTGCTATGATGTTTGATGTCTCAATATCCGGTAACAGTGTCCGTGTTTGCATGTAGGATATATTGGTGCCGTTGCAGTAGAAGAGGTCCCGTTTTTTTACAGGTTTGTTCTTATTTGTCAGGGGGGCAACGAACAGGACGGGTGCTTCGAATTGTACTTCGAATCTGAGCTCGGATGGTCTGAATACCCGTTTCGTAGTATTTGCACACAGCCCAATAACCTTTCCACTGCGGCTCGAATATCCAGTAGCACTAGCGAAGTATTGCTGTAGAACCTGAATGGTTGTTGCAACCAGAGCCGTTATTGAGATCACTAGGGCCACAATGGAAGTTATGGCAGCAACATCGAGAGGTTTGGAGGAGAGAGTATTGGTCTGGGCGTCCATATCGAAGAAGTTTGGGCCACTTTCTGGCAACGCATTTGCGGCTTGGGTGGAATTAATTTTGCCATCTTAAGATTCATATAATGGCTATGAGCTTGAACTTTGAATGCCGTATGAATTACTGCAGAGAAGAGAAATCAAAATTGTGTCGTGACAGCTTGGAGAGCTCGAGGAATCGGCAGAAAGTGCGGGGTTCCAAGGGATTTAGCTAAGCCGTAGATTAGCCGATTAAGGGGCAACCTGCAGGAACCTCCAACGTTGATTCTTGAAATCTGCAAAATGCAATCACCGCATACATAAATACTTTCCAGTCATAACCTTTCTGATGATCTGCGATCTTTGTCCTTGGCATCTTCTAAAACTTTTGCCTGTCCCTTTCAAAATTCTTCTTGCTTTCTCAACGCGTTTACCTGTTCCCTCTTCTGTACTTGCCACCAGTCCGACATCTTTTGATATGGAAATGGTAATTTCACAGAATACGAGGCACGCCTGGAGAGCCCAGGCAGATACGCCTACGACAGCCATTGACTCCACATCCAACTAGAGTCGGGCTCACATGAAAACTGTGTAAGAATCTACCTGTCAAAAGATGAAGGATTCCTGTGCAACTTTGTGGGTCGCTCATCTATCCAAGTTCTTCAAACTTTCAACTCTCTGCGATTCACTTCTTGATGAAACGCTGTGTTTATCTCGAGTTCTCGACTACCGCCATCTTTATCTACAGTGAAAACCAAAATCAAAAAAAAAAATCAAAAAAACAAGCGGGTGACAATTCCAAGCTATGACAGGCCACCCGTGCCCGACTGACAGCTGAGTTGTGATCCGAAGAGGCGCATTTGGCAAGGCTTTCCACCCGGCAAACTTCAGCCGCAATACCTACAGCAAATCATGCACTTCTGCTCCAGATATTTCTGGACTCAATGTCACTCTCGTGGCGCACATGGAATAATCTCGTTGGTTGTTTGGAAAACAATTTCCTTGGCTTCAGAATGTGTAGCGAGACGCGTCTTTCTTTGGCAAGTTCGCAAGTTACATGCATCGACCTGCGCCGCATGTCTTGAAGTACGGGCTCTCTTTGGGAGCAATTGACTCATGAAATCGGTCCACTGACATTTGTGTTGGTGTTTCTTTTATATACCCTTTTCCCGACTCTTGTCGTGAACTTTTGGGCATCTCCTTCGCATCGTTGAACTTTCCCACAGCTAAGGTCCTGTGATAATTTCCATGGTGATGTCTCACAGAATGTTTGTCGTTCTGTCGATTCTTTTTCAAGTCCTGGTTGTCAACGCCGCTGGTTTCGCCGAGGTTCTCCTTCGAGATGTGCTTCTTCCCCGTTCTCCAGCAGGCGCCTTGATTGGGGATGCCGTAGGAATCTTCGATGGAAGTCCAATCGTCCAAGTCCGAGCATTACCCTCTGCTTGCAACTATGTTTACAGTGCTATCGGTTACTGTTCTTCTGTGAGTCCTGGTTGGATCTCGGCACCAACAAAAACACAAGCAACGTGTTTGTGTTACAGCTCCACGAGTTGGATCCCAAGCGTTTTTGACAATTCCGTATCCTCTTGTACGTATTCATCGGTGTGGTAAACATAACGAAAGTGCTGATAGCATCTAGGTGCACAATATGTCAAAACAGTAGATCCACAAGACTACTCAGTTATCGCCAATCTCGGTGGATTCTGTTCCAGCGCTGGCAACGTTCGAGGTAACAACATCGCTACAAGCACCAGAACTCCAACAAGTCCCACAGCAGCATCAACAACCGCTGCACCCTCCTCATTATCTCCATCACCAACCATTACCCCCGGACCCACAACCGCCAGACCCCCCCTAAACGCCGCTCCCGGCTGCTCCACCGTCTCCCGCATCCTCAACAGCTGCAGCTCCCTCACAAAAGGCTTCACCGACCTCCCAGCCCGCAGCCAAGCCTCCTGCCTCTGCTACACATCCTCCACCTACGCACCGGGGAACTTCGACGACAACGTGCAAACCTGCGCCAGCTTCGTCTCTACGGCCACGCCTACCGCGTATCCCGTTTTCTCGGCGCTGCAAAACTTTTGCGGCGATGAAGGGGATTTTAGTGCGGGTGTAGTAAGTGGAAGTGCAAGTGGTAGTGCCAGACAGACGACTGCTGTGTTGAGTGGTGCTGGTATCTCGGCTTTGAATGGTGGGGGAGGGGGACCTACAGATCCGGGTATTACTACGACTGTACCCCCCACGACGGCGCCTCCTCCAAACAATGGACCTGTAACGGTTACTGGGGGATTGCCGATTCCTACGGTGCTTGGGTCGGGTGCGGGGAGGGAAGTGTCAGGGTGGAATAATATTGTTTTGGGGATTGGATCTGTGGCCTTCTCTGTTTTTCTTTTCCTGTGAGGATGTTGCTTTATGAATTGTATCTTCCATCTCTTGGCGCTGAATATCTTATATGACCTCAACCAACTCTACTATTTCGACCATCACTCCCACCAAACCGCAAGGTTCAAGAATATCATCGTCTTAAGTACCAACACCCTCAAACCCTCAAGCCCCCTAAGCGAGCCCCCTTCATTCCCAGATTCACTCCCCTCCTCCCCTCCATCCCCATCCCCTATCACCTGACCCACAAACCCCCAAAAACACCTTCATATAGACAACTAAGACTCCCCAAAGCATTCACACCAACCCAGGATTAGCCAATGTAGTTGGGCACTGGTGTGAGCGGTACACATCGCCGTCCGTAAGCAAGCATGTTAACTTTAAAATTCCCTGCCCCTATCCGTGGGATTTTCTATAGGCCTAGCACTTCTCCTTGAAGGAACAGGATTGAAGGTACAGCCTTGAGTTTTGCTGTTTCGGGTTTTGGATTCTTTTTTGTGGATTTTGAGGATGGGGAGGGATGGGGTTGGGGGTGGGTGTTTTTGTTTGGACGGCATGGTAAGGGGGCTTGGCTTGGATCGGTGAATTTTCGATATGGATTATTGTGTGTATGGGGACTAGAGGGCTGGATCTTGGGGGCCTCTTTTGTTGTAATTCCTTTTGGGCTATAGTATCCAGCTTGGGTGTCCTGAGGGGAAACCCTTTTTGTTTTTGTAACAACTAGCTAAGGCTACTGTATATGGAGCATTCCTAGCATAATAAGACAACAAACCTCCACCCCTATAATCCCAAGCCGCCCACTCGACAAAAGATCTTCAAACATCAAACTGTTAAGGTGGAACAACTCTATTTGAGTGAAACTCTTCTCGCGTGCCAAGCTAGAAGTGGGTGTGTGGATTCATTCTAACAAAAACCATCTCAAACAATCCACCAATCTTTCCTTCATTCGGGATATTATTGCCAGGAAAGCAGTATCACAATTCCCAACTTCCATACATCCCCCAAACACCATGAGTAAAAGGAATAATCACCAATAGCAAGTATCTCCCAGTGCCTTCGTGGTAGGTAATAAGGACAGAAAGCACTACACTCAATTGGAGCCCCTCGCTTACCAAACTCTAAATGGTTTGTCATATAGTAGCGCGTTAAGGGGTTCGGGCACGGTAAGCGAGAAGGGAAATACAGCCATATCGCTTCTAGCCAATGAAAGAGGAATAGATTACACGATAATACAGGATCATTCACCGCATTCTCACACTCATTTCGAAATAGGCGATCGTACAAAAAGAACTTTCAATAACATCCATGCATCATAAACATATCTGCAAAATAAGCCAAAACTCATGATTCCCAATCCAACCCAACCCAACCCTCATCAAGCTTTCAACATTATCTTCATACAAATATGTGCGCAACTCAAAAATCCCGATCCCATATATACCATGTACAACAGCATCACAATCAGAACTTCCTCTTTTTCTTTGCAGGCGGAGCTTTCGCCTTAGCCTCCAACTGCCTCTTAATCTCCAACCTCTTCTTATCCGCACGTTCCTCACTAGTCTCTCTCACCTCGGGAGTTGCCTCTCTTTTGACTCCCGCCACTGGACGGCCTCTATCAGGAGTTCCAGTCCTTTGAGACGCAGCGGCGGTAAGCGATGAGGCTTCCTTTTTGTGACCTCCGACCTTACCAAGCTTTTTCTTGGCCGGCGTTGTGGATTTAGGACCACTTTCATCCCCGCCCTCGGAATATGAGGTACTATCCTTGGCGGGAGCTTTCGAACCTCCTATCTGACCCACCTTACCTTTTTTGTTTCCTCCTACCCTTCCGAGACCTCCTTTACTTTTTGGGGCTGCCGGCGAGGACGGGACTGATGATGCGGTCTCCGAATCATCACTAACATCTGGAGCCTTCTTTTGAATCTCTTTAGGAGATAGAGGTCCTTCATCTTCCGTGGCAGTTTCTGAAGCTGGTTCTGGAGGAGACGTTGGTGGCAGATCCTCCTGTTCGATTCGTGACTCTGATTGGGCTTCTTTGGACCCAAATTTGCCAAGTATTTTATTTGGCTTTATTACAGGTTCGTCATCATCCGTTGAACTATTACCAATATTGGCTTTGGGGACCGATGCTTTCTTCCTTCCAACGCCCCCAAGCGTTTTCTTCATTGGCTTGACAGGCTGGTCATCGTCGGTGTTCTGATTACGGGGATTGTCTTTGCCACTGGTTTCTTGTGCTTCTTGAGACTTTCTGGACGGGGGCGGCGATATTCTCGGTTGTGATATGGGAAAGCTATCGGGTATTTTAGACAGCTGGGAAGGGGCGTCAAGATCATCGTCATCAGAATCGGCTGATGGCTCGGCGGCCTTCTCGGTAGCAGCTCGTTGTGCACCATTAGTCTTGGGATGATTGGGCAATTCTTGGGTTTGAAAATCATTGTTGCCGTCTGACGCATCATTCATGTCAGGTGAAAGCTCTCTTTTTGGAGGTTTTGGGGAAGTTTTGACAGGCGACTTCGGCTTGACCTTTGATCTTCCGCGATTTGTCGAAATCTTTCCATTCTCTAAATTTACGGTCGCTCCTCTGATATCTTCCCACCAAGCCTCCTCTTCTTCAGCACCTTCGTTTTCCGAACCAGCCTCAATAACGAACTCCTCGTCGCTTCCGTGACGTCGAAAGACTTCTGAAAGGAGAGTCACAGTATCATGTGATAATTCTCTCTTTGAAATTCTGTTCCAAGATGCGAGATTGAATTGCCCTAATGCCTTGACTCGCTCCTCAGCTGTCTTCCGATCAATCTTCCGACCTGATTTCCCCGCAGCCTGAGGAAACACCTCACCTAGTGAGGTGCCCTGGTACTCCAACCTATCAAGCAGCTTCTGTATAACATGATCCTTATCGCGCAGCGCCTCAGCAAGGCTCTTCACATCTTGCATACGAGCCTGCTGTGCTCCTATTAATGGTATAACGAATCTAGCTGCAAGCTGTGTCTGAGACGCCGCAGAGAGTCGGATCGGCCATTCGAGAGGCATAAGCCCTCCTGGTAAGGGCACCTTGAGATCAAGCGTCATGAATGGCCGGTCATCGTCGGTATTGATCGTTAAGGCAGCTGTTGTGCCATTGGCCCCCTCCAAGCCTAGTTTGATTTTTTCCAGCAAGATGCCCAACTGATCAACCGAGCTGGGATCGATACTTGTGCCCTCCTCTTGGCTCCTGCGGATGATTTCGCGTTCAGACAGCGATTCGCTCCAGAGATTTGTCAAATCTGTCAGAAGGACTACGTAGGAGTCATTGGATGGAAAGGCGAACGAGATCAGAAGCGGTGGAAGTTGGGAGTTTGCGGGCGGCAACGCTCGGAGAGGCTGCCAGGCCATTTTGGATACTGGCAACCTGCACTTTTCCTGCAGAGAACCTACAGGAATTTTATGACAAGAGTGCGCGAAACGGTCGCGATCGAGAGGCTGTGAATCTTGAATCTTCGGGGACGGCAAGTGCAGGTGAAATGCAATAATTAAGGTCGCGATGACAATTATGATGCTTCGTAAGTCAAGAGGGATTTGTCGGGATACTGCACGTTGTTGTCATATATGTAGAGGTACAATGGGGTTGAATGATGGCTGGTATGAGTACTCGTACCCCGCGAAAGGAGCGTCGCACCAGTCGCGGTTGCCTACATGTGTATTCAAGCGGCTTTGAGGCCCCGCACTTTCAGCTTGCATGTGGAAACCTTCCAAGGTTAAAATCGCGAGGTCACGTGTCGACGCCTTGGAATTTTTCCCAGGGTTGAGGTGGGCAAGATATTGGCGCGTTCATGAAACCACAGATTGATTGTAGATGATTTTGAACGCAAAGCATAAGGTACTTGAGGCTTGTAAAAACTACAAGCTGAAAGGATTAAGCTCAATCTTAACGCCAAAATAGATGTATATTTGATTCCTCCATTGTTGTCTTTTGCCTGGAACGAAGAGTTGGAATTTATTATTATTATTATTATTATTCCTTTTAACGTGCTGTGTGGGTCTGAGACTATAGTAGCACGGCTGGGGGTTTCCCTCCAACAGATGAGTAAAGCTGTACTAAATACATGTTTGAGAAGGGGGTTATGGTCATTACAGTTCTTGGGTTGTTGGAAGCAGCTAGGCTTCTGGTTATGACAAAAGAAAAGTTGTTATGTTGTAGTACGCCCCCTAGTTTCACGCCCTGTACGCTACACTTCCTCGTTCTCGTCTTCCTCGTCCTCATCTTCGTTCTCATCCTCAGTTGCGCGTTG